TGTTATTCAGAAAAGTTTGCTTTGCATTTGTCTTGCTGACATATGTTTTCAAAATCAGTAAACATACAGAATAAACTTGATAAGTTGTTGTTTTTTTGACAAATGAGCAAGCATGATGCAAATAGTTTAACAGAAAGGTTTTCAGGATTATATGTTTGCACAAGCCTTGAATTTAACAGTTCTGATTATAATCAAAAATTATTGTTTTTCGTTATTTAGTCACTTTCTGTTCGAATGATATATTAACAGAGAATGTCTGTGTATAATTCATTTATAAATATTGCTTATTCTTAAACAGATGTTACGTCACCAATTCCAATCGATTCCAATCAATTATACTACAGGAAAAAGATGCAAAAAACATTATTGAAAATTAATAATTTCATTGCAGGAAACATCGTTGTCAGTAATTGGTGACAGTCGATATTTTTCAATTGACTTTATTAATGGAGGGAATGTGCTCGGGTTGCTTTGAAAATGTGCTACATTTTTGATAATTGTACGAGAGTAAAGTGCTTTAAAATTGTCTATGTATAATTAAATTTGTATCGCAATATATTCTGTAATCATCGAGATCGATGTTTTATTGTTTAGATGATTATTATTTGTTGTGTATCTTATTCATTATTTAGATACTGGCGTGGGATTGGGAAGAATGACGTCTGTTCACGTAATAATGTTGTTGTGTATTTTGCGATACATTGTCATGTGAAGCTTTTTCCATTACAAATATTCTAATGATACTTTGAGGTTCAAATGAAATAACTAAAGGTGAGGTCATTTGCTATAATAATTGAAGATTTTAAATAAAATTATTGGCCCATGGAGCATTTTCTTTACAAGCATTAACAGTCAAATACATTGTCTTTAAAATGTAAAATCTAGCTTGTGATATCACTTGTGACCTGGCCTTTCTATAATTTCTAAATTTATTTAAACGTGCATTTGAATATTCAAACGCCTTCCCTGTTGATATTGAATACCCATCTCAAATTTTCAAAAGCCCGCTTCATAAAAATTCATAATAAATTATTTCTTTATAACTCTTATGCTCGAAGCTTTGGCAGATAAAAATAACTAGTTTCACAAAAACAGATGTATATTAAAATAGAGCCCAGTAATATGCTCTCCCTTACCACTAAAATCTAATAACATGTGTCTTTTCTCCCCTACAGATATTGCAAGTAAAAATGCCTTTTTACATTGCACTCTATCAACATGGGGGTTATTCCATACTAAAACTAGTATTTATATAACAAAAACATTGGACTGCGTTAAGATGTGTGATCTTGTGTCGTAGAAACAAAACCAGGCCAACCATAAATAATGTATGTTATCGACTGATAAGAACATATGCTAACGGAAATGACGTCAAAGCAGTAATAAAACCGATATAAAGGAGGTCCAGCTTGTATTTTCATGATGCCTTCTGACTTTTAGGGTAATTAACTTTTTTCTCTGGAGAAGTATTGGTGATATTAAATAAATATACAAGTAAAATGGTTTCCTGCGGGGAACATTTTTGATGATTTAAAGATATTTCATTTAACTATTTTCAACATTGTTTGGGGGAAAAATTAAAAGAAAATTAACGTTTGTATCAGGAATATAGTTGACAATAATCGATCAATAGAAGAAGATCTTTGGCCTTGGTCGAAAATAAAACAATATTTCTGTTTAAGAAAATGATTAAATACCATTGTATGTATAGTTCCTTGCAAAAAATAATTTAAAAAAAAAAGAAAACACACAAGTTTACGCAGAAAATATCTCTATCTATTATGGCAGATGCCACAAATGAATGTTTTAATTCAGGGAATTTTCACTATAAACAATTTATTGTTTGTAAAATTTCAGATAGATATTAAAAGAAACATTGATAATTTTCAAACACATCATGCAATTTTTTCCATCTCAAACGGTAAAATAATAATAGAAAATTAGAAATATCACGTAACAGTGTTATGTTCTTAATTAGGTGTAATTCGGACTAATTCCCTAGCATTGTGTACACCGGTCATTTGAGAGACCGGTGTGTATACAATGATTTCCTAGAGGTAAATCCGTAACGTACCGGGAAACGGTATTTAGCTAGGTTTTCGAATAGGTCAATTAACCAATCATGTACGGTTTACAGATCACATGCTCCTCCATGTACCGAAAACAGGTCACGTGCTCCTCCATGCCTCAAAAATAAAACGCGTACCAATACCCTGCGGGCTTCGGCCCGCAGGGAATAAAATACGACATACATGTATTTATGTCGGCAAACGGTGAGAATTGTTATTTACGTGAAACATTTCTTTATACGGCAGTAGATTCAACTTTATAAACAATTGAGGTAGTTTATCAAAATGATTTTGTTTTGACATATTGTTATATAACATTAATGTTATGACTGATTCGATGATTTATGCACAAAAACATCTTTGTTATATTGGCTTTTGGTCATTTGAATAACAAATGAAATTGAAAACAAGTCGAAATTACATGACGTTTTAAAAATAATATTTCTGTGAGTAAAGAGATAATTCACTCAGTTTTTACTGTTACATTTAAAGTCACAAAGTAACGTCTTAATTTTCATTGTGTTATATTCAAAGTCTATAATAACCATTTAGCTGACCGAGAAATGTTGTTTTTTTTTTTAATTAATTGTCGACCGATATTGATCTTACTTTTTATGTATTTTGATTTACAGTTAAGCCACTCAAAATTAATTTGATGTAATATAATTATAATACAATGCTAGTTAAACAATACTAGCTGACTATTATATACACCTTTGAAACATTAAACAATACTAGCTGACTATTCTATACACCTTTGAAACATTTTACTGTCGTGTATTATGTCCGTCCGTACAACCCCTTTATTGAAGAAACCATCCCCATCAAAGTAATTGACGAGGAACTTCACCATAGCCAAATACTTTCTTTAGTAAAATAATTTTGAACAAAAACATGACATGAAAACGGAACACTTTCATTTTTAGTGTAATTCTTATATTTATCAATATATTTAAAGGATATTTAACGTAGATGAAAGTGTTTGAGTCGCCCCCTGAAAAAAGATTAAGATTAGTATTTTGAGGCGGCCCCTCCAGAATATTTTGAGGCGGCCCCTCCATTATCGATCATTCAGTCACGTGACGTTTTTAGCGTGGACAAAGCAGAGAGATCATCCGCAACAAAGCCTTTGTTTAGTCTCTCACATATAAACTTCACCTCGGAAGTGGTTTTTCTAATACTGAAAGGGGAAGATTCAAAAATATCATGCAATATGTAATTACATCGAATGATTGCTCATCATGAGGTATGATATCATGTTTGCTATAGTTCATTTCATAAGAGGGATGGGGCGTCCGTGGCCGAGTGGTTAAGGTCGCTGACTTCAAACCACTTGCCCCTCACCGCTGTGGGTTCGAATCCCGACAGGGACTTTGGATTCTTTCATGTGAGGAAGCTATCCAGCTAGCTTACGGAACGTCGGTGGTTCTACTCAGGTGCCCGTTCGTGCCTGAAATAATGCACGGAAGGGCACCTGAGGTCTTCCTCCACCAGTAAAGCTGGAACGTCGCGATATGACCTATACTGTGTCGATGTGACGTAAAACCCAAAACAAATAAGAAGGATAACAATGTCCATTTTTCTTTTTTCCTATCTAAAGGGGGGTCTATTAACATCATTTAAATACATGTAATAGCATTACTTTATGTTTAGAAGTCCATCTGATTACATAAATATTCTTTAGTAAGTTGACAGAAAGAAACGATACTTTAACTTTGACTTTGCTTTGATATAAAGTACAAATGAAACGCTCCAACGGCATTGCATGATTATAAAGAATTTAGAAAGACAAACCATGTATACAAGATATATATTAACAAAAACAAGCAATGTATTTGGAAGTGCGAAAGAGGAAATAAAATGTTTGTACGAACACAGAAAATGCTGTCCGATCTTTAAAGACAAAGTGCACAAAATATATCAAGTCAATGACAATTCTCAGAGGGTAATCAATTTAATTCAATTATTCAGACTGAAGTTAATTAAGGATTTCAATGAAATCTAAATTTCCCATTAATCTCAAGGAATGGGAAAAATACTAAACAACATTTGCGAGAGACAATTCTGTTCTTTTTGTATTTGATAGCTATGCTTTTTAAGTAAAAACATGTACTTTGATTTTATGTCACCTTTATAATGAAACATGTGTGTGTATCAAATCTTTATTTTATTGTCAAACAATGCGCTCAGCATGCTCGTGCATTACAATGACAGTATTTCGTACTTGAATGCAATGATTAGCTGTCAATTATTTATAAATTGAAAAAACATGTCAAAACAACACCACTGGAAATTGAAATGTCTTTCTGAAAGATTGTTGAACCAAATTTTCATCAAAATATATAAATTTTACTTCGTTTATGGAAGTCAGGTATAAAAAGATTTTCTCGTTGCATTCTAATTTTTTTTCTGATTTATTTCAGATATCAAGATGATAAGTGGCGAGTGACAGTTTTTGACTTATAGCAAAAGTGTAAGTTTTATTATTGTTTACCTTATTAAATAAAAAAAATCGTATGACGACAGATATTTTATTTATCTTGTTACAATTACCTTATTGAAGAAAAAAATATAAAATCAAAACTAAAACAGGATATCAGACAGCTTGAAAATACCTTCCATAACTTGTAACACATACCAATACACAAACAGTAGATTTCCTATATTCACTGCTAATATATTATGTAGCAAGAAAAGATTCGTTGTAGTTTCATAACAGCAGTTTAAACTTTTCTTCATTTGCAATTTTCATTCAAATATTTGCAGTTGATATGGTAGCATTCATTTGTCTTGTATTGCTCATATTAGATTACAAATCAAACAACCATGCAAAATCATTAAAGCAGAATAACCCTTTATGAAAAATATGAAGCTATATTTACATTTAACTGTAATTTCACATACTATTTCGTTTCTTTGAAAATAACTTTTATTATGCCCCCTTTTGAAAAAAAGGGGGTATATTGCTTTGCACTTGTCGGTCCGTCGGTCCGTCGGTCCGTCCGTAGACCAAATGGTTTCCGAGTGATAACTAAAGAACCCTTAGGCCTAGGAACTTCAAACTTGGTATGGTGATTGGTCATGACAAGTAGATGACCCCTATTGATTTTGGGGTCAAGGGGTCAAAGGTCAAGGTCACATTGACCTTGTAAGCAAAAACGGTTTCCGATCAATAACGAAAGAACCTTAAGGCCTAGGAACTTCAAACTTGGTATGGTGATTTGTCATGATCAGTAGATGACCCCTATTGATTTTGGGGTCAAGGGGTCAAAGGTCAAGGTCACATTGACCTTGTAAGCAAAAACGGTTTCCGATCAATAACTAAAGAACCTTAAGGCCTAGGAACTTCAAACTTGGTATGGTGATTTGTCATGATCAGTAGATGACCCCTATTGATTTTGGGGTCAAGGGGTCAAAGGTCAAGGTCACATTGACCTTGTAAGCAAAAACGGTTTCCGATCAATAACTAAAGAACCCTAAGGCCTAGGAACTTCAAACTTGGTATGGTGATTGGTCATGATCAGTAGATGACCCCTAACGATTTTGGGGTCAAGGGGTCAAAGGTCAAGGTCACATTGACCTCTTAGGTAAAAAACGGTTTCCGATCAATAACAAAAGAACCCTTAGGCCTAGGAACTTCAAACTTGGTATGGTGATTGGCTATGACCAGCAGATGACTTCTATTGATTTTGGGGTTAAGGGGTCAAAGGTCAAGGTCACATTGACCTTGTAGGTAAAAACGGTTTCCGATCAATAACGAAAGAACCCTTAGGCCTAGGGACTTCAAACTTGATATGGTGATTGGTCATGATCAGTAGATGACCCCTATTGATTTTGGAGTTAAGGGGTTAAAGGTCAAGGTCACATTGACCTTGTAGGTAAAAACGGTTTCCGATCAATAACGAAAGAACCCTTAGGCCTAGGGACTACAAACTTGATATGGTGATTGGTCATGATTAGTAGATGACCCCTATTGATTTTGGGGTCAAGGGGTCAAAGGTCAAGGTCACATTGACTCTTAGGTAAAAACAGTTTCGGATCAATAACTAAAGAACCCTTAGGCCTAGGAACTTCGAACTTGGTATGGTGATTGGTCATGATCAGTAGATGACCCCTATTGATTTTGGGGTCAAGGGGTCAAAGGTCAAGGTCACATTGACCTCTTAGGTAAAAGCAGTTTCCGATCAATAACTAAAGAACCCTTAGGCCTAGGAACTTCAAACTTGGTATGGTGATTGGTCATGACCAGCAGATGACCCCTACTGATTTTGGGGTTAAGGGGTCAAAGGGAAAGGTCACATTGACCTTGTAGGTAAAAATGCTTTCCGATCAATAACTTAAGAACCCTTAGGCCTAGGAACTTCAAACTTGGTATGGTGATTGGTCATGACCAGCAGATGACCCCTACTGATTTTGGGATCAAGGGGTCAAAGGTCAAGGTCCCATTGACCTTGTAAGTAAAAACGGTTTCTGATCAATAACTAAAGAACACTTGGGCCTAGGAACTTCAAACTTGGCATAGTGATTGGTCATGATCAGCAGATGACCCCTATTGATTTTGGGGTCAAAGGTCAAGGTCACATTGACCTTGTATGTTAAAACGGTTTCGGATCAATAATAAAAGAACCCTTAGGCCTAGGAACTTCAAACTTGGCATGGTGATTAGTCATGACCAGCAAATGACCCCTATTGATTTTGGGGTCAAGGGGTCAAAGGTCAAGGTCACATTGACCTTGTAAGTAAAAACGGTTTCTGATCAATTAAGTAAAAACGCTTAGGCCTAGGAACTTCAAACTTTGTATGATGATTTGTCTTGACCAGCAGATGACCCCTATTGAGTTTTGGGTCAAGGGGTCAAAGGTCAAGGTCATGACCAGTAGATACTTGATAACCCTTATTAATTGTTTGATCACTGGGTCAGAAGTCATGCATAATTACCTTATCACATGAATAATTGGCTGCTGATAGGGGGCATACATGTTTTACAAACATATCTTGTTATTTATTTATAAAACAATATTATGACGGGCCCGGGAAGTTTAACGCTTAGTTGTTTTGACATAATTGTCTTTACAAAATTGTTAAAATTGTAAATTACTATTCAAAACGGACACTTAATAGGAAAGAAGTCAACAAAATGATTTTTATTTTTTATTCTTCGGTTTCCTAGGTTTATTTTGAACATGTAGAATGTTTTGTAGAATATTCTTTACACGGTGACATTTCATTCATAATTCATTTTTCTCGGATTGATTTCCTACATTTGTGGTATATAATCAATGCGCATGAATAAATATATATGTATCGTTCGAGCTTCAAGTTTGCATTAATAACAAAGGAATCTCAATTGTTGTCAACGTGACACCATGCCATTCAATATTTTAACAAGTTTACTTGTTATGGTAACTGACAAGTTACAGCGTAACACTCAGTGTCTTTCCTGTTTGCATTCAATTGGTAAAGGGCATGTAGCGTTACATGTATCTTGTGACAACACATTGCGCCAACTGCAAATTAATAATTTTTAAGCAAGGACAAAATTGTAAGGACATAATAAAACATGTTTCAAATTTGCCTAAAACATGCATGCATTATGTTAGTCCTTTAAAAAACGAGAATCTTCTCTGCACAACTCTTAATGACGTTTTAGGGATTAACCAAAGCGTAAATGACTTAAAATGAAGAACTTTGGATCAAAATGTTATTTAATTGTACCTTTGGTACACTTTACGCCTTAAAACATTCCGTAAAGGAGAAATGGTATGATATTTTTACCTGAACGCTGTATTAAACTCTTAACTCGCTCAGTATCTGAGATGGTCTTTTCTATCGTTCACTATGGACATCATATTTAGGGACAATTTCAAAATATTTACTGATTGAATAGCGAACAGTGCAGAACATAATCACGTACTTCACGTACGATTACTTGGGTAGAATCAGTTGCTCCCAGCAGATAAAGGCTTAAATGATAACTATGTAAATACCGTAACATCTCTCAGTTATTAAATTCTTAAACATGTTATTTGTATGACTATCAGAAGCTGCATTTTAATGCAAACTCAAAAAAGAAATCACTTAAAACGGATAATAATATAGTGCAAGTGTCAGATAAGACGACAACGTAATTATTTACAGAAATAGGTTCAATTATCAATGAACAAGGAATGACGCTCATCCATGAAACCTTTAATTTCATGTTCAAGTAATGGAACTCTTATAGAAGATAATTGACTATTACCACATTTTATACATGAATAATTTCAAATTATATAGGTCAAGAATGGGAGCTGTTTAGAACTTTCCCTGTGTTTCTTTTTCTCTGTCTTTTATTTCCTGCGTACAAAAGAGATAATAAGTATAATTACAACCGTTATCTTAAGGAGAAAAGCGCTCCACAGTTTCATTCATTTCTGCACTTATACATTTTATTTTATTTTACCTAAGTGCATTTAAGTTTAGGTTGTTTTTTTTTTCCAGATAGTTGACAAAGTGTAATACTATAAATTAGCCACAGCATCTTATTTTACACCTGATACCTTGCATATTCTTCGTTTCCATTTATACGTGTATACAATCCAAGAAGTATATTCTAATTTCCATTGCAATTTGATAAACATTGAAAAGTTGATGCTTTATGTGGCGTATGATTAACAGTTGCTAAAGGTATGCATCCATAGATATCTGATACTTTATATCAGTAAGGTTATTCTTGCCGCATTACATTACCAACAGGCTGAATATCATTTATTTATTATTCATAGGAATACAGTATAATTTGCAGACGTCTAGGTTTTATGTCTACCTCTTTGAAGGAAATAATATGTTTTATTTCTTAATTTTAAATAAAGAAATAAAATACACTGCCTACACAAATCAGATTTTGAAGTCACAAAGTTGATATTTGTAATATTAGGAAGTCTTATTTATCATTTCATTTTAAAATGGATTGGTCTACTCTGGGCATATTTTCCATACGTATTTCAAATTGGTATACAACAAAAACTATATGTCGTTTAGATCTTCTTATAAAATATTCTTAGAAATAAATTTATATGATGAATAATAGTATTTTGTCCTGCAACAATTCATTATCTGATATATTTAGATGTCATATCGGACCATAACACTTACCAAAACATTTATGTATAATTCTTTGGGTATGTTACTAATTACTATCAACATAAATATTTATGGCTCTACAGACATTTCATTATGGACTTAGATTATTTTAAAAAGACATCAAAGCATGGCTCTTCTCAGGTGCTTGGTCACCTATTGTTTATGTCACTAGTAAAGCTGCAAAGTCGTCATATGGCCATTGTGACTTAAAAGTCAGCACAGTAATCACAATTTAAAAAAAAAAAACAAACACAGTAATGTTTCCCTAAAAGTCAAGAATAATTACGATTTCGTGCAATGATTCTGCTTCATGTATTGAATGATAAGATTGTTTGCTTTATAAATAATGAGCTTTCATTGTTTTGTAATGGTCTAATATTTCTTTTTGTTCTTGATACAAGCAAAAGTTTTTACTTATGTTCTCTACTAATCCTGGTGTTGTGATTAATTCTGTTATATACACTATTACAAAAGCCTACTTTTCAGTAAGAGTTTCATGCTACTTGTTGAATTGTAACTCATATTATTTGAAAAATGTAGCGCAATGGAAAATGTTTATATTATTTCAATATTTTTATATTTTAATATTGCATAATGTAATGGTAATAGTTTCGATATTTATTGTAAACTGTTCTTTAATCTTTGAAAAAATAAAACTATTTCCAAGACAAATATGAGTCAATGCTGAAATGTGTAATAGTTGATGTCATGATACAGGAGATAAAATATTGAACTTGCGAAGATCCTATGTTTTTTTTTCAACAATAAACATATTATAGAAAATATAAGATAAGTAATGGTCAAAGAGGCTTTGAAAATATTACAAAGATCAACTGGCACAGTAAACATGGACACATATAAAAACAATGATGAATAAATTGCTTTAAATAATTTATATTTACTTCAATTCTTAGCCCAATTCGTGTTGAGAGGGTTTTGACGCTTTTTATTGTAGGCCATTTTGCTAAAGAAAATTATTATTATGAAAAAAATAACAAAGAAACTAAATACTATACTTTCTTTTCGGGAATTATGTATTTAATTATATCAAGAACAGACTGCAAATTCTAATTATCTTATGTTTTCATCTTTTCTGAGGACATCGCATTTTGAAAAAAAACTTTTAAAAGAAGGTCCTTGTATATACCTTTAAAAAAATACACTCTACCTTTAGTGATACTGAGTCAGTCCACCGTCTATAACCATGCAAATGAGCTTGCTATATAGAGTCAACTAGAAAAGAATCGACTATGCCCACGCTGTCACATTTTGACCTCATTGTTAAGTTACATAAATTCTTCTATATCCACAGTAAATTGTTGTCAACAGCGTAGAACATAGTAAAACCATTCTTTTCTTGCATATTAGTGTTAGTTTTACTCATGCTGGAAATTTCATCTCGCATGGGGGATGCTAGATAAGTCGCGTGCTTTAAAATGACCCCAATTAGGCGCATGTCATGAGTCAACTGCGTTCAAATGACGTCATGTCGGCGCATTTAAAGATGAAAGTGCGTGCCGAACATGCCGCAATTCCGTCCTTTTGAATGAAGTTGTAAATCCATACGCTGGTGTATGAAAATAGTCCGATATGAACCGTAACATGTGACAGATATTATTAATCAGCTTGCACTGATTGTCATGCAACTTTGGAATTAGAATACAACATAAATAGTCGACTTTACAATAAAAATAACATTGCTGCTTTATCACAATGATATTGGTCGGTGTATGTGTGACGAAAAATTCTGCCTGACATGAAAGAGTATATTTCCGATGATAGTAAATATTATATTTGATAAGATATACATGTATATGAAACTACTTTAAGATAGAAATGAAACTGTATTACATGTGAGTATATATTTACAATAAAGACGAAAACGAATGTAATATAATATATTGAAAATTACAATGATACTCTTGACGTAGTGATAAAGAATACCTAAGTATTCTAGAATCCCATAAATATTTAATATGAAACACGTACAAAACATAATCAAATAATTTTTTCAATTTTACAAGAAAAAATAATTAAAAAGAACGCACACCTGCACATCTTGTATTTGTCATTATGTTTGTAACGATATGATATTACACTTCAATAGGTATTGTTGTAGCAGGTATCACATTAGCTTCTCCTAATTTATTGTTAATTTTGAAAACGTTAAAATATGACAAGCTCAATACATTTTCCCGTTGTAACATATCAAAAGTCAAATAATTAAAACCGAAACCACACCTGTACCTTACCTGATTGTTGTATCAGATCTCACTTTAACTTTTTACAGTGGCAGTATGCCCATATAAGTGTAAATGATGAATGAAGGTAAAAAGTCAAAATAATCTTACATTGTGTCATATTTGTATTTAATTTAATATTATACTTTACATGTACATGTGAAGTCAGTAACCCACGTAATTTACGGGAAGTTCTATGAATATCTTACGAAATGTATTGGTCAAGTTCAATTAAAACAGTAGGGAAGTCTGTTTAGTCCCCTACCGGTTAAAAAGTACTGAAAATATTTTTATGAAACTTGATATATGGATAGATTGCAGTATGGAGATTATGCACGTCTTTTTCTTTTCTTCCTATGTTGAAAATTCTGGTTGCTATGGCAACAAATAGACTGAAAA